AGTAGGTCTGCTGAGCTCAAATGTGGGATTTTTGCCTAGTCACTTTTCAAAGTAGAACTGCTCCTTAATGTATAAGACAAAAGGGTGCATTTCTTCTGTCTCTCAAAACAGCTAAGATTGTTTGAATTCTGTTAAGTGTCCTAAAATACTCCATAAATGAAGATAAGAGCATTAAGCAGCAACAAACTTGTTTAATCATAAATAAAAAACTATGGAATTTAAATTTACAAAGCTAGCGCATCTTTGTCAAGAGTGCCCCTGATGCTTCTGCAAATAATACCAGAGAAGGTCTATCCGCAATGTATTGGTAACTGCATCCCTGCATAGCCCAAACCATTTTAGGTACTATCCATATACAGAGGAGGGAAGAATGTCCGTCACAAAGGGCATTTATACATGTGCTCCAGTAGGCAGGGGTGGGGTAGTACTTTAATTAGAGCAGCTCTGAGAGCTGCTCTAATTAAAGTGCCCAGAGTGTTACATGCATCAGAATCCCCATGCTGAAAAATGGCAGCAGGGGCACTTTCAAGCTCATCGAATGAGCTTTAGTTAAAGCCCCACCCTTGAAATGTTTCAGCACAGGGACACTGATACATGAGATGGCGGAGTCTGCTGGACTGCAGTAATTACCTAGCTCCAGCAGACTCGATTAATTGAGCCTGCTCCGACGTGCTGTAATTACATGTCGGAGCAGCCTCAATACATGTGTATAGGCACCCGAAGAGCTTACCTTAGGCTGCATCAAGCTAAAGCCAAAATCCAGATCCACCATTAGATGGGTAAGTACCACTTACATGGCTTTGTTAGCCATGTAAGGGGTATTTTGGGCTACTTATGCAGACTTTAGATACCCTTTTCATGTATGGGGGAGAGGAAAGAGGGCTCTCCAGTCTTTTAGCCCAATGGCTTAGCAGATAGTGTCCTTGTCCCTGTTCTTGCCCTACTGGTCAAAAGCGATCCCACAGTTGTGTATCTATTTTACCAACTATTATTAAATGCAAAATATAGAAACAGCACTGGAAAACAGGAGGATGAGAGAAAACTGAAATGAGGCCCCCCCTCCCTTCCAGGGTGGTACTATCTTATGGCACCACCCCATCTGGTTTGCTTCCCTTCGGGCACCATTTTTTCTGTCCTTCTTGTCTGCCCAGGGAGCCAGTTTCAACAGAAAGATGGCAGGTGCTCTTGGTAATTCCGCACCCATGCATGACCTGGTGGATAAGAGCACTTTGCTGAGAAGTGAGATATGTAAGTTCAAGCCCCTTCTTGATGAGCGGAGCTTAAACTTGGGTCTTCTACGGTCTAGACAAGAACCCTGGACTATTGGACTAAAAGGTGGGGAAAGCCTGCCCTCCTCCATCCAACAGTTGCTAGTCATGGTTTTCCTGTAACTAATATTTCAGGAACTGTCATGGAATGTATGCAAATACCCAGGTGGAAAAGTAACCAGAGCATGCTCAGAAAGATCTGACAAGTTGCACAGAAGTAGCTCAAAATGCTACTTATATGGCTAGCTTTAGCCACACAAGTGCTATTTAGCCACAAAAAGGAGAGTTGGATTTGGCCCTAAGAATCCATATGTAAAGCAAAATTCCAGAGTCAGACTCAGTGTTTGCTTACTTACTCTAGCCAAACTCCTACTGGAGTCGACTAAAAATGGAGTGAGGGCTTTAGGATTAGCTCTGCAATCTAGATATGAACATAATTAATAGTAGAGATGCTCACATCCGTCCTTATACAAGCTGAATCTTTGCCCCATACCAAATACAAACTTTCTATAGGTTCAAAATATTTGGTTTACTTTTAATTTGTGTGCTTCCAAGTCCAGGACATAAAAATGGAATGTCCAAAGTACCATGAGAAAAGCTGCTGTTTTGTACAGCTAGTTTTGTGATCAATAAAAGCCAGAAAGTAATGGAAGTGTCTGGAAAAAAACCCCCAACTCCCAAGATTTCCAGCCTGCTTTCATGACTGAACAGATTTACGCCTCAGCCCATCATCATTAATACTGTAACTAAATCCTACCACTTTCACTCTATAATAATTCTGGAATCTGTCCCCAAATCTTCTCCAGGCATTGATCATCTTGGGCTTTAACTATTCCTTCTCCATGGTGTGCCCACCCAAATTTTCACTTCACTCCTGCCAAATGCCGAATTAAAATTACTTACCTTGCTAATCTCTGACAATATACCATTCTCCTTAAGCTCCCTTCATAAAATCTCTTTTTCACTTACTTTTCTAAGGCTATATCCTCACTAGAAGATGTCTTTCCTTTCTACTGTGACACTTCCTTAAAACACATTTCATGAGACCAATAGCTCTTAGGGTGCATATACGCTCAACTTGTATGTACAGGGTACATATAAAAAGGGTTAGGTTAATCTAAATGCCCAATCTTCCAGGCATTCAGAGGGCTTAAATCTCTCAAAAATGGCACACATGATCTAAGTTAGTTCATCTCAGGAGGTATGCTAACTTATCTCGATTGGGTTAACGTGATCTAGGAAAGGGTTAACCAGATCTCCTGTACAAGTTTGTAGCACAGCCCTGGGGCTGGGAAAGCCCAGCTGCTCACCTCAGCCCTAAGGATACACTATTTCTACCCACCCCCTGACCCTGGGAGGACTAGCCCCACAATTCCTGCAACTAGACACCCTCCCATCCCACCCCCACAGACTCGCATCAACTCCTCCCCCTGCAGACCTGCCAGCCCCCGTGATCCTGCCAACCGCCTCCCCAAAACCCACCAAATGCCCCTGCTGACCCTCTAGCCCCCCTCAAACCTGTCTACCCCTAGTAACTTGCACCACTTTCCCCATACAGCCCCAGCAGGTGTACACACCACTCCAAGTCTATGTTTTGGTGACTTAAAGTAAGTCACGTGAACATATACCAGGTGCAGAGAATGGCTGTACACACCCTTTGTCTTTCCATCAGGTTCCAGTTCAGCAAGGCACTTCAGCATGTTCCCTTCAGTGACACTACTCACATTTGTAAAGTTAGGCCTGGGGCCTGCTGAATGTGCTCCTTAGCAACAAATATTATTGATAAAGCTGAGATGCTTAAATAATAAAAGTGGGTGCAAATGAACAATTTTTAAATACAGTGTTATGTTGCATTGTACATACGACTGTTTTTATGCAGAGACCTGATTTCCACTTCTGGTCTTATGTATTTTTGTCCTTTGCTACTACACAGATACCAGAGGAAGCATGAGTTAGGGTGTGTCTACACATGACACTACGTAGCTGCAGTGATGCGCTATGGTGACAGAGTCCAGAGATGTCTACATGTGACCAGCAGCTACTTCGCTGTAGCAGCACACTCCACACTCCCCCCCATTATAATGCACCACTATGGTGAATTAGCTGCTAAAAATAACCACGTGTTGCAAGTACAGCGCAGTATAGGCGGCTACTGTGCCATGCTTTAGTCCTTCCTTTAGCACGTAGATGCACCCATTAGTAGGGCTATGCGAAACCATCATTTCACCATTTTGGCAGGACAGTATTTCATTTTGAGTTTCATTTCATTTTGAAAGCACTGTTCCATTTAGTTTAATCGAAACTGTTTCGCTGCTTCGACATTTCGCCCATAGGCTATAATGGAGAAACACGAAACTGCTTATAACTGTCATTTTTGGCAGATTTGAATGAAAACAGCAGTGATGGTAGCCCCTTCTGAGGGCATGAAACCTACCAAGTTTCACGGAGATAGGTACAGGAGTTTCTGGGAAACTTCACCTCAGGCTGAAGACAAGCAAAACTCATGTCGCGTGTGTATGTGTTAAGGCACAGCAGGGTGAAAACTGCAGGCATGGTAGCCCCCGCTAAGGCCATGAAGCCTTCCAGCTTTCAAGGAGATAGGTGCAGGGGTTTTTGAGAAACTGCACCTCAGGCTGAAGACAAGCAAAACTCATGACATGGGTGACACCGTGTGTGTGTTAAGGCATGCCCTCACTGGCACTGGGGCCTCTATGTGACACGGTAGTGTGCCCCAATAAGGTCTCCTCCTTCCCTACAGCTTCAGTCCGGTCCACCACTTTAAAGGTAATAACTTAGTAAGCAGCACAGTAGCACCGGCAGCATCTCAGGCAGCCAAACTGTCACAGTCAATATCAGAGCAGTCCTTCCCCCCTTTTCTCCCTCCCTCTCCTTACTTTCTGTTTCCCTGCAGGCAAACCCAGCTTCAGCTTTGAAACTTGAAACATTTCAAAACTTTTGAAACGTTTCGACTGCCCTTGTTCCATTTCAAGGCTTTTTTGAATCCCTTTGTTTCGATTTCGCTGTTTCGAGCTCAAAATGAGTCGAAACAACATCGAAATGAAACAGCCAGCAAAATTTCGCACAGCCTTACCCATTAGCTACAAACCCTATTGTCAGTCCAACACTAACTTCACTGATGATACACAAAAGCAAGCAAAATAAATACAGAATGAAATAAACCAACATAATACATCCATCCAATTACTTATTTATATTTCAGCTCTACTGAAAACAATTTTCAGTAGTTTCCAAATGCAAACAACATAATTAGTAAGGAGAATTATGTAGTCAAGCCTCTAAGAAAGTACTGCAAATAATGGAGAAGAGGGAAACCACTTTAAAACAAGTTCCTGGCAACATCCCTTTTAAAAATGAGCATCCCTTTGAAGCAGTTGATCTAGTTCCAGGTGACACAGTATGGATAGTATTATATAATCTGAACTGTATCTCAGGCAACCAGCAGGTATTTGCAGTACACCTACTCAGTGACTCAATATACTGATGTTGCAAATCTGTTGTTAAAATAACAGGCTGAAGACATTGCTAAGCCCTTTTGAAGTTTCCTGTAAATTTGTGATCAGTTAAAGCAACAACTTGCTTGTTTCTCCTGTTACTGACTCTAATCTGAACATAATGGCCTTTGGCAAATAATTGAAGCTTCCCAGGGAAGAAAGGTTTTCAGCAATTTAGGTTTTATTCAAAAGGAGAACAGAACCACATTAGCTAGCTACATTCAAACAGCTGCCAAGCATGATTCTGGCAAGCTGCTACCTGGCAATCAATTCTGAGTTACTGCTAGCCAAGTTACTGCTAGGGTAGGTAGGGGAAATGGACACATTTATCAAAGTTGGATGCCTGGAGTTAAGCTCCTAAAACTACTTAGCCTTCAGTGTGAGCAGCAGGACACTTTTATGGGACCCAATATAGAGAGTTTGGAGCCTTAATTTAAATGCATACATTTAAACATTTCTTTCCTGGTTAACAATTTTACCAGAGGAAAAAAAAAGCATACTGTTGAAAACATATAGATTACCTACAGTAAGCTTTCTTAAGTAAGGTTGTAACATGGGGTCAAGAAAAACTTAGACATAAGAAATATAATCCTGTGGTTTCTTTCAAATAGTCCCATCACAAAGCAGGCAGGAGGCTTGGTCCACAAATCTATGGATGCCTGGAGATTGTCATGAAACCCCACAGATTTCAGGCTGCAATGCAAGTTAGGCAGGATTTGAATTACACTTCGACGCTTGGCGGGGTCTGCAAAAAAATTAAACTGGTTCATTGATTAACAAGTCCACTTAAGTGAAGGAGCAATCCAAATGGAGACCCTCCCCCTCTCCCCCCAAGTTATGATTTTCAGTCAGCTCCCCCTTAATTCATACCCTGAAGTTAGGTAGACTTTTTGAAAGCTAAATATGGGCAGCACTACTGTTACTGCCCCACCAATTTTCCATGCTGCTTTCCAAGGCTTCTTTCTTCAGCAGCCTAGTTCCCATGGGATCAGTGCCAGAAGCTGCTCCACCTCTACAGTTCCACTGCTAACCCCAGGCCCAACTGAGCCATGACCCCTTCCCTCAGAACCCATATAGATTAAACTATGTGGCTCTCTCAGCTCTCTAGCTAACTAACTTCTCTACTCCCCAGTGCTACAGGGCTTAAATCATTAACACTTATGGGTCCCATCCAGATGAGCAGATGCTTGCAGCAGCACAAATTTGTGCCGCTACTTTGTGCCACAGCGCATATCCCTGCACGTGCCCTTTGCTGCGGGCTGTGCCCAGCTCCTCCCAGCTCCCAGCCAGGCTCCATGTGCTGGGGAGGGGGGCTGCTGGCTGAGGCACAGGGTGCATCAGCATGAGGCTAGCCAGAAGGTAGCCCCTGCGCCGAGTCACCCTGCACCCCAGCCAGCCAGGGAGTGGCATGTGGAGAGAACGGAGCAGGCAACCCAGGGCTGCCTGCTCCCGTTTCTGCATTTGTTCTGGCACACGCTATTTGTGTGTGCTTTGCCTTGCTTTCTTTTCCTTTTTTTTTTCCACTACCAAGAAATTCCAATAGCAAATTTTGCCCCCGTATTACAAATTAGCAGCGCCATGCATGGTTTGCAATGTGTGTGGTTTGTGGTGCCACAGAGAGGTTTGTGACACCACAAACTGCACGTGCCTGCACATATGGACACAGTCATGAAGTACATTCTGGTCATGGGTGCCAGAGAAATGCATCTACATAAAATAAGGATTACCAGCACACCAATTAGCATAGTATCACTGCGGTTACTACCCCACCATTGAGCTCCAATTGAAGAAATAATTTACAGTTGCACTGTAGAACTAAAGCAGCATAGTGACACTTTGCTTGAGAATTCGGAAAATTCCCAGCCTCAGACATGTTTTTAAAACAGGAAAACTCCTTTTTGGTTTAGCTTTCCTTATTAATAAAAAGGATGTTTGACTAAGGTCCCTACCACCAAATGTATTCACAAATTTTAAGGTAAAATTGACTACTCTGACCTTCTGCATAACGTAAGCCATAGAATCATTTTTTGCTTAAAGACCTGTTATTCTAACCCCTTTTTTCCAGATCTCCTCACACAGGCTTGCTGATGCTAACTTGCTCAGAGCCAGCTTCACAAATTCTGACTAACTAATCCCTTATTGATGGTCAACATGTTGATTCTAGTAAATGTTTAACTTTACCCTGGGCTGGCATTAAGAACTGGGAAAATTAGTGGCTGCTCATTCTAGTGGGAAGTTGAGGGCCGCAAAAGAGCAAATCTACAAATATGAAACATTTAATATTCACGAGCAATAATGATTTTCTGTTAAAAATGACTAATTGGCAGTGTCACAGAACTTGCTGTTGGACAACAACAGACAACAAGCAATGCTTTGTATTTGGAGGAGTCGCTCTGAACTTGGTTGTTTACACATTCCTAGATTTGCTTGTATTTTTGTGCATATGTAGTAGGCTAGTGTAGATCTTCATGACTGAATTTGATAGCAATAGTGACAATCATGTATGAAAACAGAAATATTTTTGAAGAGCTGGATATCACAGAAGAAAAACTGAAAGAGAAGCCAACAGTGAGAAAGTCAAGCACTTAAAGATTTCTGACTTCAACTGTTTCTCTTTCAGTTGATGCACCAAAATCTTCAAATTAAGTTTTATCCACCTAAATCACCAGAGTTCCTACTTTTTTAAAGCAATGCTCTTAATAAAAGAGGGCTTTATTTCTTCTGACAGTTCTGGGAGATTGGAAAGAAGAGAACAAGAAGAAAACATTGCTCTCAGAAAGACAGCACCATATGTGACTGTGGATATGTCTTTGAGCAATAACAACTTGATGCAGCAACACAGTTACTCAAGGAATATGGAGGAACTTTGAGTATTGATTCTCTAAAATACCCTGCCAAATGACCAGTGATGGATAACAGAGTTTGCTTTTTCCTTATGAACACTGGCCAGTGCAAAGAAACTACTAGATGTTTATATCTTTGGATAATAAAGGATAAAATTTTCAGTTTTCCATGTTTCATGCTAGCTTTCAAATGGAGAGTGCATTAAAAGAGACTGGCTTCTCTGTTCCATTTCAACGATTCTGGTTATTGTACCTGCTACCATCCGTTTCATTCTAGAGATTTTGCTTTAGCTGGGAATGGAGTGTCAGACTGGACCATTGTAAACCATGAGAAATTAACAGCTCACAGGAATAGCTATAATACAGGTTTCCCTCGCTTTATGCAGGTTCTGTATGTACAAATTCACTCTTATGCGATGACCCTTTTTATACCAAAAATTCATTATATGTGAGGTAAAAATTTACTTTTATGTGAGCGGTGTAGTGGAAGCCTGCAGTCAGCTGCTTTGTGCAGTGCATTGTGGGAGTGATGCACACCAAAATATAGTCTCCTGTGTGGATCTGTGCTCCTCGCTCATTGTCTGCGACACATGTTTCTGTAGTTGCTGTCTCCATTAATGATAGTACACACAAGCATGGGGCACCATCTGCTGTTGGCAACTACCAATATTGTCTTGCAAAAGTCTTAAAAATGGGTCTGGGGGTCAGTACAGTCAAAGTTTTGGAACATATCCCTATTTATTACATTGTAAAGTGGGTTCCCTTTATGTGAATTTGAGTTATGCGCCGTTTTCCAGGAACACATGTACAGCATAAAGCGAGGAAAACCTGTATGTGGAGAGACTTAGAAATTAGGCTGAAGCAAGACCGTACAGTTCTTAAAGAAAATAGCATCAAATTAATTCCCTACTATAATACTGGCAAACTGTTCAGGAAAGGCTTTTTGATTTGATCAGGCTGCCTGGAATAGAAAACGTTCAAGGGAGGCTCAACAAACAAAGGGCCTTGTTACACCTTACATTGTAAGCTAAACAAGTGTTAATTGGCTTAGTGAAGAAGTAGCACCATAAGGTGAAAAGTTATCGCTGACTACTTTACCTGCTCAGCTGTGACTAGCCATGACTGCCAAGTACAGTCAAAAAGCCCAAGGCTGAATTGATTCAGTCTGCAGGTTAGTAAAAGCTGCACATATTAAATCAAAACAGAAGTGAACAGACATTTACTTTTGATTCAGGAAATGCAACCACATGCCTGCAGTGGCTCAGGCCAAAAGCCGGGGTTGCTAGACCATGGCTCTCTGCCTGCGCTCACTTCCTCTTCCTGCTGCCCTCAAAGTCTCTGGGATTTTCTGTCTAGAATTATAACAGCAAGACTCTACAGGGTTGCTCATCACTTCCTCTTCCTGCTTCCAGGTGCCTCTGGGATTTGTAGTCCACAGTTGCAGCCGGGAAATGGGCGTTTAACGCCCCCCCCCTCCCCCCCAGCTCCAGACCCCTGCTGGGGTTTGCCTGGGGGCAGCTCCCCACCCCCATAGACTAGGCTGCATCCCAGATAGACTTGTCAACTAGCCCTCACTGCTCCAGGTAGAGAACAGAGGGGCAGGGCCAGCCCTGCTCTCTGGGCACAGCCCAGCCCAGCCCAGGGCATGAAAGCATGCTGGGATGCTAGGGGACTCTGATTTAACTTGAGCCAGGAAGGGATCTGGGACAGAAGTTTCATAAACTGGTTTGACCCAAATCAGTTAAGTCTGATAATACATTCAACCAGATTTATCTTAAACCAGTTTCAGCCATTTTCAAACTGGTTTATGTGCACTGAGCTTCTGTTCTGTTACAGGTTTAAACCAGTTTCCCATCACTTAAACTGGTTTATATGTAACTTCTGTCCCTAGGCTACAGGTTTGGTAAGTAGGGGCAGGACGAGAAGATATAAGTAGGACTAGCTCACTGTTTGAACTCCAAGGAACCCGATCTTTTTTTTCCTCCAGAGCCTGCGCCTCTGTGCCCACCCCCCGCTGGGTGCTGCCTGAGTTCTGAGGGGTCCAATCCTTTTTAGGAGCTGCCTGGGCTCCTAAAAAGGATTGGACCCCTCAGAACTCAGGCAGCACCCAGCCCTGTGACGGCGTCGGGGAGGGGAGTGGGGGACGAGCTCTAGAAAAAGGATCAGGCCCCTTGGACCATAGAAATCTCAACAACCAGTGTAGAAGCAAAATTCAAAGAACTTAATCCACTCAGGTCCCAGAACTCTGAAAGATTTAGCATGTGAAATCATAAGGCTGATAGCAAGGATTTCTAACAAATCTGTCAAGTTGGACTAATTTCAGATAACTGAAAAAATGGAAGGTGCAGCATTTATATTATAAAAGGGAAAAGCTATCTGGGGAACTTTAATTCTGGCCACAAAACATGCAAGGCTGCTGGCCAGCTAGGCGCTGCCTAACCTTCAAGGGGCACAATCCTTTTTTTTCCTCTGGAGCTCACCCTCCTATGTCACCGTTGGCAGAAGCAGCAAGCTGGTCCAAGTGACGGCAGGAGGCACCATGGGTGCCAGGTGCTCCAGGGCTGTAGTGCTTGCTCTGCCTGATGTGCCCAAGCCACTGTCCCCAGCCCCACTGTGCCTTGGTGTCCCCACTTATCCCGACTTGGGAAGGGCCACACATCCTGGCATTCTGGAGGACTTCAACTTGAGTGGAACAGCTGCAGAGAGTGGCCACACCTTAATGGAACAGGAGCAAAATTATTCAGATTAGAGATAATTTTGTCCTGGAGTGGCAGAACTTTAAGATGAATAATAAGTGCTTTAAACCACTTAAAAAGGTGTTAGTAGGAAGCCAATCCAGAGGTTAAGAACTCCAGAAGCTGCCTAAAATTACTGTGTAACAAGGCCCAAACTCCATTTGTGCCACAACGTGATTTTAATTTTTTAAAAATTTGTGTTGTTTCTTGGAAAAATCTAACTTTGTTATGGAAGATTACCTTGCAGAAAATTCATGATCACTAACAGAGCAGAGATATTCAAATCTAAATTATTCAGATTCTTGGGGATATTATCAATAAGGACACTACTGCTACCCTAAAACCTACCAAGTATTTTTCTGTTCAATATTAGTACACAAGAGCTGATGACAGTGACTATTAGATTTACTTCTGCAGAAGAAGAAAGTGGGAGAAGAAATGGTAGTGTTATGGTCAAAGTGTTCATTTTTGGGTTTCTGAGTGGTTGCAGTGAAGTGTGGTATTTTCGATGTTGTTTTAAGGGCTTAAACTATTTTTTTAATCTTCCTGTAGTGCTGGGATGCAATGAGCCAACATGTGACCAACCTGTTTCCGGAACCCTCACGTGAAATGAAATCTGCATATTTCAGTAATAAATTTCAGGAGTCTATGGGAGCGTCTACATGTGCATTAATACGCTTTAAGTTTAGTACCTCTGGGCACTTTTATGTGTGCTCTGGGGGCACAAGGGTTGGGGGGTATTTTAATTAGAGAGGCTCCCAGAGCTGGTCTAATTAAAACGCCACCACGTATTGTGTATCAGTGTCCTCATGCTTAAAAATGGTGGTGGGGGGCACTTGAACTAAAGCTCATTTGATGAGCTTTAGTTCAAGCACCCCTGCTGCCATTTTAAAGTGTGAGGACACTGATACACACGGTGCAGGAGGCTGCTGGAGCGTGATACTTGCCACACTCCACCAGACTCGACTGAGTCAGCTCCGACACACTGTAGTTACAGTGCGTCGGAGCAGCCTCCGTGCTCATGTATAGGCACCCTCCAATGTGAGGTACAAACTAAATGTGTGATTAGGCTGCCCTAACATGCAGTAGTGCAAGTGCATGCTTTTTAGGTGATGCTTAATGCGCAGTAGCCTATTTTACTGTGCATTAGCATAATAACACGGGTTTTTTAAACGCTGCTTTAATGTGCAGTAAAATAGGCTGCTGCGCATTAAAGCACACATGTAGATGAGCCATATGACAGTTTAGTTTCAAATGGCCAGTGATTCAAACCTAAAGGGCCCCATGATAACCAATGCTTGAAGCAGGATGGAATTGTTGACCCACATAATCTGCAAATATTAATTTTTGTGCAGTGTGGTTCTTTGGCATGATGTATGTCATGATGTTAGTACCACAAGTGAAAAGCTTCAAGAAGTTGAAGTGAATATTGAATCAGCTAAAAGCCTCAAAACAATTCCTTATAAGTTACCATTCTGATAAATTTACAAGCGTCTTAATGCTAAGGAATTGGCTTAAGAGTGAAACCAATAAGAGAAAGTTTGATTATAGGGATGGAAATTAACCATTAGCTAATTCAGAAAAGAACTACTGGTAATATGAAGATTTCCTATCTTGTTTTGAATACCAGCATGCACTTAGAGAAATTTTGTAACTTAAGGGGTACCACAAGCTGTTCTGTTTGTTGTACAGTATCTCTTAAACACTGAAGAATTACAAAAGGATTACAACAGCAGTGCATTGTTTTAAGCAAAGCATAGAAGATGGGCTGCCTTGTTGAAGAGAGAGTGACGTAAATGCCCTGGGTCTTTACAATAAGCTTCAGTTCCTGGCAGATGTTTGAAACCTAGATCATGCCAAAACAAGAGTACTGGATTTTCTTTCTAAAAATAAGCTATTGTCTTTTTTTCCCCAAATGTTTCCATTGCACTCAGGCTTCTATTAACATGTCAGAAGCTGAGGCAGTTTTTGAAATTTAGGTTTATAAAGACATTTTTGCATTCTACAATATTTCAGTCTCAGATGCTGGGACTTGCATTAATTTCAGTTGAAATCTAAATTGCGGAAAGTATGGATATACCCATCAACAAGTTCATATATATTAAAGTGAAGTTTGTTGAAGATGCTAGATGCTAAACTTCACAAGCAAGTTTTTGTGAAACAAAGCTTTAAAGGACCAGTTATGTGTTTGATTTCCAAGGTCTTACTTTTCTTCATGCTTGCATTATCATTGAAAAACAGGAATTATGAATCTTATCCCCTTTGCTTTTATTGAGCAGTTAGGAACTAACAAGAGAGGACACCAAAAAGGACTTCTGTTGTATCCTAAAGTCTATAGTTGGCACAGGTGTCTGTTCCTTGGCTCCAGCCATCTCCAGAGCTTTTCTAGTTCCTAGCAGTTACAAGGAAAGAACTGTGCTTTTTTCTCTAAAATTATTGGTGATGTTCCTTGGGACATTATTATACCACAGGTTGTCACTGGATGTGGTGTCCAAACTAAAAACAAATACACCACATTTCTGAAGTGTTGCTCCATATAATCAATTTTCTGATATAATAACCAATTTTTGTTTACCCATGCATATGAAGTCACACCTTTTACTTGATCTCTCAGTGAAGGAATACTGAGCATTCTTTGGCAAGCACCCCATGCCATTTATTAGTTAACCAATTAGATACCCAAGATAGATGAGGACAGTCCCTGACCTAAAGAACTTAGTAAATGGCAATCAAAAAGAAGACAGTACATGCTGGGGTATCTAGAAATAATTGTTTTATTTCCACAAAAAAATGCAATGGGACAGGTTCTCCTCCTCTTTTCTCCTTCTGGCAGCAGGACTGATTCCAATATGATTTTTGCTACAAAAATTTGACTGATAGTTGAGGAAGGATGTGATATTTAACAAAAATAACGTACTAAACTAGAGTGACATTTGTAAGCTCATAAAATCACAGACAGATGGAAAAAGCCACGTAGGTCATCCCATCTGACAATCTGTACTTTGCAAGAATACTTCCTACATCATTCTCATTAGCATCTCATCTCATATATGATGACTATTCTGCTATATTTCACTGCCCAACTGCTCTGATTATTAAGAATCCTTTCCTAATGACTAAGATTTTCCTGCTTTAGCTTCAGGCCATTGCACCTTGTCCTTCTATCTTTGGAGAACGTGAATTCCCTTCCTTCATTTATAGTGTTACCTTGAAAGTATTTATAGTCTGTGAACATAAATCTCCTGAGTTTTCTCTTTAATACAGTTCCCTTCAGTTTCTCTCCATACTCTGTGCCTTAATGTTCAGTCATTGCTTTGTATTTTCTCTAATTTTTTAAGCCAGCTCTCTAATCATCTGAGGCTGGCGGTGGCTCCATTCTTGTGCCCCCTCTAAGTTGGTGTCCAGAGCTCATACTCCAGGTGCCCACTGATAGTTATGCTATTTGTTTTATAATGAAAAGTGTTAGGCAGACTTTGTGGCAGGTATTGCCACCTTTGATACAACCCCTTGTAACTATATAGATCCCATAGTCAGTTTAAAATTTTGGTGCATATTTCTCTGACAGGTGCAAACTTAACTTGAATAAATTTTAAAAGAATAGATTAGCAAGGTCATGGCTAGTGCCAGGTGAATAATATAAAAAGAGATTTGTAAATTCCTTCCAAGGTGAAGAATTAACTTAGATTCTTTTTATAGAAAGGAAAAGATGAGGAACAGCATGGTTAAAATTCTCTGAGTAAATCAAAGAGTTTTGCAATTGTTTTAAAGGAAAATATGTATTAAGTTCTCTCTGCTGTTGTGTGTGGGATCACGTTACTTGTTCCTGACAGCTGACTCATTTGTAACATGTTTGTCAATCCCTCCCCTCAAAAAAAATAAAATAAAATCACAAAATTTTAACCTCAAAAGTTGTGGCAAAATTCTCAGCTTGGAACATCATCCTCCCAAAGTCTCTAGGTGTTCTCCTGTTTAGATTCAGTCATCCAGTCACTGAGCAGAAACAATTACATGTGATTTACACAACCAGTTTAACAGCTACAATAACAAATTACTTATCTGAATGGCAGTGGGAACGAATAGCTTATGAACAGCTTCTATGGTAGTACTTGTGTATGTAATATCAAGATTGGTTTGTGAATTATTTCTGAATAACAGAGGCAAAACATATCAAAAACTTAATTTTTTCATTAGAACCAATTGAGTTACTAGCTACTTACCATCGACTTTGGTGTTTACACAGCTCCCATCAAAGACCTCCCACTATCTCATGGTTATTAATATACAGATCTTCACAAGAGCTTAATCAAGCAGGGCAGCATCATTTCAAGAGAACTAACATACACAGCATGCATACATGCACTTTACTACAGAGTCATAGTCTGCATGTGTATTCATAGTTTCATAGTTGGTAGGGTCGGAAGGGACCTAAGTAGATCATCAAGTCTGACCCCCTGCCATGGGCAGGAAAGAATGCTAGGGTCAAATGACCCCAGCTAGGTGATTATCTAGCCTCCTTTTGAAGACCCCCAGGGTAGAAGCGAGCACCACTTCCCTTGGAAGATGGTTCCAGATCCTAGCCGCCCTGACTATGAAGTAGTGCCTCCTGATATCTAGCCTGAATCTACTCTCTGTCAATTTATGGCCATTATTCTATGTTACTCCCAGTAGCGCTTGGGGGAACAGGGACTCTCCCATAGCCTGCTGGTCCCCCTTGGCCAGTTGGTAGACGGCCACCACATCCGCCCATTCAGCCTTCTCTTGTGGAGGCTAAACAGGTTCAGGTCCCATAGTCTTCACTCATAGGGCCTGCCTTGCTTCCCCCTGATCATGCAAGTGGCCCTCCTCTGACCCCCCCTGCCTCCCCCCCAATGCTGGCCACATCCCTCCTGAAGTGCAGCGCCCAGAACTGGATGCAGGACTCCAACTGCAGCCTGACCAGTGTCACATAGATGGGGAAAATCACCTCCTTGGACCCGCTCGTGATGCATCTGTGGATGCATGACAAGGTGTGGCTGGCCTTCCTGACCATGTCCCCACATTGGCAGCCCATGTTCATTTTGGAATCAATGACTCCAAGATCCTTTTCTGCCTCTGTGCTGATAAGAAGGGAGCTCCCCAGCCTGTAGGTATGCTGCTGGTTCTTCCTCCCCAGGTGCAATACCTTGCACTTGTCCATATTGAACCCCATCCTGTTCTCATCTGCCCACCCCTGCAAACTGTCCAGATCTAATTGCAGCCTGTCCCTCTCCTCCAGCGTGTCCACTTCTTCCCACATCTTAGGTGTCATCCGCGAATTTGAACAAGGTGCTTTTCACCTCTTCGTCCAAGTCGCTGATGAAGATGTTGAGCAGGGCAGGCCCGAGGACCAAGCCCTGGGGGACCCCACTGCCCGCATCCCTCCAGGTTGAAAAAGACCCATCCACCACCACTGTGGGTGCATCCCTCTAGTCAATTTACGACCCATCTGACTGTGGAGGCATCGACGCCACAATCGCCTAATTTCTTAAAGAGAATGGGGTGAGAGACAATCAAAGGCCTTCCTAAAGTCCAGAAAGACTACATCCACCGCAGCACCTGCATCCAAGGATTTTGTGACCCAGAAATATACCTGAACATAAATCTCCTGAGTTCTCTTTAATACAGTTCCCTTCAGTTTCTCTCCATACTCTGTGCCTTAATGTTCAGTCATTGCTTTGTATTTTCTCTCGTTTAAGCCATCTCTCAAACCATCTGAGGCTGGCAGTGGCTCCATTCTTATGCCCCCTTAATAGCATGTGTAGATGCGCCCAGAAATATTACGCAACTTCCACAGTAACACATGAAAAGTCAGAGCCAGGAATTCAACTAAGATCTGAGCCCTTGTCCAGCATCTTAATTAAAAGATCATTCCTCCTCTCTACAAGACCCTCTCAGAGAAAGAGAAATATTATAGCTTTACATATAATTTACAAAATTTACATCATTACTCATAATTTTCAAATTATATGTACCTACTTGCAGCAAGCTGCTGTATAAGCAATTACATAGGCTTATTAACCAGTGCTGTAAAGATCACCAAGACACCGGAAATTATAGGGATAACAGAAACACAGTGGAAGAGCAGCCATGACTGGAATGCAAGCACTGAAAGGTATGCACTATTCAAGAAAGCAAGCAAGAAAGGTAAAGGCAGGAGTGTGTTAGGCATTAAAGATGTAGAAGGGATAGCATGGATAAAACAGAAACTTGTCTGGGCCAAAAGAACTTTAGGGAAGGATGCTAAAAACTTGATATAGCTGGAAGTCTACTACAAGTGCGCAGTGTTAAGATTTGGATATGGAGAGTGATCTCTGTAATGTTATTAAAGGGAAAAATACTCCACAACTTTGGTGTGTGCTCTTCCTGGATGGAATGAAAAATAAAGAAGCCAGAGGCTGGGCTGGTATGCATACAAGGTAGGCAGTCGGTGAAGATGTAGATTGAGGAGTCAATGGGTGAGAGACAGGCTGGGGGAGGGGAGGGGGAGAGAAGGGGGATGAATAGTGGAGAAGTACCTGGGGCATCAGATGTCAGGCAGGTTATAATGTCTCATAAATCCATTGTCTATATTTAGTCCATGTTTTTTAGTATCTAGGAGGTTGATGAAGTGGACTTCATAGGCTCGTCTCTGGGAAGTGTTTTGTAAGTTTCCTTTGAGGATCAAGACAGAGATTGGAGACAAAGTGATTTTCTTGCGAGAAATGTGCCTCCCACAGGTAATTGGGTATTCCCATCTTTGATAGATTTTCAGTGTGCTAACCTCATCACCAGAAGCAATCTTCCTCAGACCCAGAACACACCAAAAGGATCCAGATCATGCCATGACAAGATCTCTCACCCATTGACTCCTCAATCTACATTTTCACTGACTACCTGTCTTGTATGCATACCAGCCCAGCCCCTGGCTTCTTTACTTTTCATTCCATCCAGGAAGAGCACACACCAACTGCTGAAACTTCCTTAGCCTGACCAAGGGTTTTTGCACCCGAAAGCTTGCTTAATAATTGTTTTCCAACTATTTAAGTTGGTCTAATAAAAGATACCAGATTCACCCAAAGAACCTTGTCTGGACTGAGTATAGACATTGAATTTATGACACATTATAACCTGCCTGACAGCTGACTCCCCAGGTATCTCTCCACTTTCATCCCCCTTCTCTCTCTCCTCCCCCTCCCCAGCCTCTCTCTCACCCATTGACTCCTCAATCTACATTTTCACTGACTACCTGTCTTGTATGCATACCAGCCCAGCCCCTGGCTTCTTTACTTTTCATTCCATCCAGGAAGAGCACACACCAACTGCTGAAACTTCCTTAGCCTGACCAAGGGTTTTTGCACCCGAAAGCTTGCTTAATAATTGTTTTCCAACTATTTAAGTTGGTCTAATAAAAGATACCAGATTCACCCAAAGAACCTTGTCTGGACTGAGTATAGACATTGAATTTATGACACATTATAACCTGCCTGACATCTGACTCCCCAGGTACTTCTCCACTATTCATCCTCCTTCTCTCCCCCTCACCCAGCCTGTCTCTCACCCATTGACTCCTCAATCTACATCTTCACTGACTGCCTGTCTTGTATGTATACCAGCCCAGCCTTTGGCTTCTTTACTTTTCATTCCATCCAGGAAGAGCACACCAACTGCTGAAACTTCCTCAGCCTGATGAAGGATTTTTTAACCTGAAAGCTTACTTAAAAAGTGTTTTCTAACTATTTAAGTTGATCTAATAAAAGAGATCAGATTCAGCCAAAGAACTTTGTCTGCCTATGTCCTTAGACCAACATGGCTATGACCTACACCCCTCCAAAACTTTGTGCATTTATGGGAGACTTCAATTTCCCAGATACTGCTTGGACAACAAAAGGTACTGATAAAGTCAGAGACCAGTTCTTGCTGGCTATGATACCTGACAGATTTCTTCAAAGACAGTCAATGAACCAACAACAAATGATGCTATTTTAGACTTAATTTTTGTAAGCAGTGTAGTGAGTATATTATAGATGAGCTGGTCATGGAATAAAATCTGGGAACAAGTGATCATACATTGATTCAATTTGAACTAAGTGGAAGGAGACACAGAAATAGCTAATTAAGGTTTTTGAATTTTCATAAACTAAAGCTAATAGTGAAGTTAACTGGACCAAAACAGTAGTGACCTGAATACAAAAGCAGCTTGCAAACCAAAGGTACTAATGTATTTGTGAATTATATCCAAAGGAAGAGGAAAAGT